GGTTTGGAGCTTCTGGATTCTCTGCCCCACCACTCCAGGCGCTTGTGGGCGCTTTAAAGTCTCCGGCCACCACTAGAGCAAGAGGATCTTTAGCACTAAGAAAAGTAAATCACCGCCCCATGATTGAGGTTCCAGAGGGGATAGGAGGCACCCATGAGCACAGGATGCCCAGGTGAAGGTCATGAAATAGAGCAGGGGCTGGCAATGGAATCCACACCCCTGAGGTCAGACTTAAACCTTTTCCCTTCCTGGTATGCGATGGCCAGGGTTGACATCTGAGATTCATCACGATCATGATCACGATCACCCTGTTGTTTATCGATTGCCTCAAGCAGGCACCAGTAGCATCTCCTTTGTCCTAGCCCTGAGATTTTAAAAAGTGCCATATTCAAGGCTCTTTCAGGGTTAGGAGAATGAGACCCATCATTGTTACTGGTATTTGGCATATTGGGTATGCCACGGGGAGTTTGCCAGACTCTGCCGTGTGGGCAGGTTACATTCAGTAGCCTGCCGAGATTCATCATGTGCCCTTAATCTTCCCCTTCTTGACCAAAGAAAATCCCATTCTAGATTATCATCCTATTTATTTTGTGAGAGGACTGGGCTATCTGCAGTGCTCAGGGTTTACTCCTGGCTCTGTTTTCAGAGGTGACTCCTGATGGTGCTTGAGGGACCATATGAGGTTCTGGGGATGGAACCAGGATCAGCACCCTCCAGGCTTACCCTTTCTACTATCTCTCTGACCCTCCACCAGTCTATTCCTACAGAGCAAGATTAGTAATCATCATAAAATGTTTCTGGCTGGGGTCAGGGATGTGGCTGAGGTGTACAGCACTTGCCTGGCATGTGTGAAGATCCGGATTTGATTCCTGGCACCACCTGGATTTGATTCCTGGCACCACCTGGTACCGTGAGCACCGCCGGGAATGACCCTACGCACTGCTGCGTGTGGCTCCATCCCCCATGCCCCCCAAAGTTCCTACTGGGAGTTTATGATGTGCAAGTGCTCTTCATACATGATCTCACATTATCCTCCACCCCAGGGCATCACTGTTGGCACAGTAGAACACAGGCTCACTGAGTGACAAAACCATGGAATCATAGAATGAAGCTTGGCTGACTCCAGAGCTATTGCTCTTGGCTACTGGACTGCTCTGTCCAGTCGAGATGGGTAGAGTCCACGGAGGAACAGCCGCCTGCTCTGGTCTCAGGCTGCAAGGCCCTAGCCAGGACTGGGGGTACCCAACCTGCCACGCTGCCGTGCAGACACCAGCTTCACACAACAAAAAGAGTCTGTGCCTTTGCAGGCACATTCTGAGAGCAGAGAGGCACCAGACTGGGAGAAAAGGAAGAAAAGTCTGGTCCCAGCAGGTCCCTAACTTGGTGCTTCACAAAACTCTTTTTTTTAGATTTTTTCCCTCCATGCTCTAATATAAAATTCAAGAGGAAAAGAGTAAACAAGATAAACAAAGTAAATGAAAGGGGAAACAAAAAAAAAAAGCAAGTCTTAACTAATAATCGATGGACAAATTTCCTCCTCTCTGTAAGGGTGAGAATTAAAAAAAAAATAAAAAAGGGGGCTGGAGCAATAGCACAGTGAGTAGGGTGTTCGGCCGACCCAGATTCAATTCCCAGCATCCCATATGGGCCCCTAAGCACTGCCAGGAGTAACTCCTGAGTGCAGAGCCAGGAGTAACCCTTGTGCATTGCCGGGTGTGACCCCCCCCTAAAAAAGTGGGCTCATGTATAATTGCTCATATAATTACTTTGTGGGGGAAAACCCCCCAGCTCTACATGTCTTGCTGATAGCCTGACTTCTTATTCCCCTTCCCATAGCTTTCCCCTGCTCTTTCTTCCCTCTATCACCATTCCCTGAAGGAGCGGGAGCCTGTCTATGCCATCTCTAGCTCCCTTTTGTTGTTGTTGTTGGGGGTCCTCCAAGCAGTGGTGAGGGGGGTCTGTTCTGGGGCCACTCCCAGTGATGTGCATCTGAGTAGGTCAGATGGCTCAGTGCCAGGGCCTGAGGAAGCGGCGCTAGTGCTGGGGACCAGCAAGGCTGCTTCAGCAGGAGAGTGTGCCATGGTGCCAGGGGCCAGAAAGGGGAACACACACACACACACACACACACACACACACACACACACACACACAAGCATGAACCCCTGATCCCTGGAATCTCCCTCACTTACCGTTTTAGGGTTTTAGAGATCAATTTCATTTTCTCTGATGTTTGATTGACTGGGGCACCACGGGGACTTTGGCCATGGGGCTTCCTAGGCATCACCTGCCCTGTGCAAATGTTCTCCACCCATTTCCCCATAAGCATAACCCTGGGTCTCCCACTGGTTTGGGCAACCCCTTCACTTCCAGCTCCATGGAATCCTCATCAAGCTTTTATTTTGTTGTTGGTTTTGTTTTGGGTCCACACCTGAGATCAGTCCTGGTGGGGCTCGGAAACCATACAGGGTGCTGGGGAGCAACCCAGGTTAGCTGTGTACAAGGCAAGTGTCCTGCTGTCCTGCCTCTCTGGTCCCTCACACCGAGCTCTTGGCCGCTCGTCCTCCACCCGCCCCTGTAGCGGGTGCACTGCTCGGATTCCCAAGCTCTGCAGATGTGGACTTCGTAGGAGCGGAGACCTGGCCAGATGGCCCGCATCTCAACTCTCCTGACTCATCCTTGAAGTGAGATAGGCAATGAGAGGGGGCTGGTGACTGTGTGTGTGTGTGTGTGTGTGTGTGTGTGTGTGTGTGTGTGTGCGTGTGTTGGTGGGGGAAGGCAGGAGAGGATGTGAAGCCAGAGCAGCTGTGGGTTTGGATCTTCACTTGCCTCAGTTTATTTTTTGCTGTGGAAACTGAGCAAATATTGAATCTCAGATCTGGGTTTCTTCAGATTTATGAGAGAATCATTCCTTCCCGTGAGGGTTTGTGTGAGAAATCAATGACATAAGGCAAAGGAACTTGTTCAGTCCAGTTTCTGTCCCAATTAAGGGAGTGAACAGAGCCCTGTGCGCACTGCCCAGCCCTCCCCCGCAGGGAGGAGCTTTCTGGTCCAATGTTCCATTAATTATCTGTTTCAGCACCAAGAACTTCTGTTTTCAAAAGTTTTGTCCTCTTGTGAAAATGCCTTGTCCGGCCCTGCATGCCAGTCCCAAAGCCACGGGCCCTCACTGGCTCATCACAAGGGCAGTTTCCATGCAGAGAAAAGGACCTTCACTCATTCTGTCCACTGAACCCGGGCCCCATGGCCTCCCTTAGGAATAAACAAGACAGTCCAGCAAAGGCTTTCCCGCCTCCAGCCCACGCTGGTGCCAAAAGTCCCTGGACCATTTGCTTATATTTAATCCACACTGGCTGGAATGTGGAATGGGATTGTGTACACTCCGCTCTGTTCTGGGGATGTTTTAAATACCTGCCCGAGTGTTCTGGCCCCTGCCTTTCCTTCTGGTCTCAGACCAAACTCATTCCAGTGAAGCTGGAGGCAGGGAGAGGAAGGGCTAATTAGCCATCACAGTTCGAGTTCACTGAACTGTGTTGCGATCCCGGGAGTCTCAAACTGTCTCCTGTTAGGATCCCCCTGTGGCGTTTTATGTCCACCAAAGCCCAAGTGCCTCTAAGATGAGTCAACCTGGGTTTCCTGGGCCCAAGGCAGGGCGTGGTAAGAAGGTCTGAGCTCCAGGACTCAAGTGCTGTGAATGAGGCCTGACTTCAAGCTCTGGGCTGGGGCGTGGGGAGTAGGAGGAGGGACTCAGCTGGTCCTGCCAACTCCTAGAAGCGGAAGGCAAAGATGATGGCTCTCTGAAGACACACACACACACCCTCGAGTCATGGATGGGAAACATTTTATTTCATTAAAAAAAGGTCACCTACTGGGGCCGAGTGAATAGTGCAGTGGGGAAGGCATTTGTCTTGCATGTGGCTGACCCAGGTTCAATCCCCGACATCCCATAGGGTTCCCTGAGCACTGCCAGGGGTGATTCCTGAGTGCAGAGCCAGGAGTAACCCCTGAGAATTGCTGACCCCTGTCCCCCCCTAAAAAAAAGTCACCTGCTGACCACTGAATTGCGGGGGGACCTTCTGATGGGACTTTGCTCCTCAGTGTCTCAAAGGGGCTAACTCCTCTGTCGTCCCACTCAGTATTCACCAGGGGCTCAGGCCAATTGTGGGGAGGACATCTCGTTGTCGCCGATGTCACATGAGCCAGAGTTGCCCTGATACCAGCAATGACGCTCCATTCCTGGTGGCTGGGCTTGGACACAGGAGGCCATGCCCAATGGCCTCGGTCTACCTTCCCGGGTGCAGCCCTTCTTCCTAGCTCTCGGCTCTGGGTTTTCATCCACATAAGCAGGCTCCCAGGTGGGCTGTGTGTGTGTGGGGAGGGGGTGAGGGAGGAGGGGAGGGCTCTGAGATCGGAGCCAGCTGGGGTCCCAGGCAAGCGCTGCCAACGTCCAGCTGGGTGTGCCAGAAGTGCTGAGGAAACTCTGGCCCCCGGGGCCTGGAATGCAGCGACAGGAAGGGCCCAGTGGGCGCCTGGCACAGGGCTGTGGGGGGCACCGAGTCCACACAGCAGGGGACAAGCACCGCTGGGCTTACGGTTCTCAGCAACTTTCATCCACTTGCGGGGTGGGGGGATTGAACCCAGGGCCTCAGCCATGCAAGGCAAGTACTCACACACCAAGCCCTAGCCCCGACTCCAAACGCCACGCCGTGGGGATTTGGGCATGTCCCCTGGGCTCCCCCATGGAGCCAGGCAGTAAGGAGACTCGGCTGACCTGCACCGTGGCCCCACGAAATCCTCGGGGTTCCTGAGCTGGGCTCACCAGCAAGTCCTGAAGCCTGGAAGCTCCCAGCAGCTGGGGAAACTGGGACCATCTGAAGCTTCTCCCTCCCTCCAGTGCCCACCAGCAGTATCGATGCTCTGGGGGGTTCACGCGGGGTCAGAGGGCTCCCCTCTGCCCGTCCCTGGGGAAGGAGGATCAGAGACTTTTCTTTTCCCTCCCGTTTCTCCTCCGGCCGGCCCCCCTCTCCCTGGGTGCACGGTGGATGCCAGAGGAGCATCCTGGACGCCGGCCTGTCACAATACCGGTCTCTGTCTCCTGCACTGCGGTGGGAGGAGGCTGACCGAAGCCCCAATGTCACCGCCGGCCCACACACAGTCACTCCTGCACCAGGAAGTTGATGAGCGCGGTTCTGGGAGAGAGGAAAGCCTTCTCGATGCTTCGCCCTTGCAGGAGCCTCATGCCCAGCTCGCTTTGCAGAACAAGTTCACGGACTTTGTCCTGGTCCCGGGCGACCTGATGCGGCACAGGGATTTTGCCACATGCTTTGTTGTTGATCTGAGGAGAAAAGCCGAGACAAACAATGAGGGGACGACGAACAACCCCACTCCAACCCTCTCCTAGGAGGATCATCTGCAAACTGAGGGGATTAACGTCTGATGAGAGAGAGAGAGAGAGAGAGAGAGAGAGAGAGAGAGCAGAGGGTGTGAGGAGAGAAGGGAGTAGAGAAAGGGGGAGGTGGATGGGCAAGGGAAGAAAGGAGAGAAAAGAGGAGGAAAGGGCAGAGAGGAGAGGAGAGGAGAGGAGAGGAGAGGAGAAGAGAGGGGAGGGGAGGGGAGGGGAGAGGGGAGAGGGGAGGGGAGGGGAAGAGGATGTGACTCTCACCCAACTCAGTTATAATCGAATCCTATCATGATCTCAGCATGAGGAGGCTTAGGATGTGCCAGGGGGGACAGTGATTTCTCTGTCGTGTGTGTGTGTGTGTGTGTGTGTGTGTGTGTGTGGTAGTGGTGGTGTGGTGGTGGTGATGTCAAGTTCAAGTTCAGATCTGACTGGGGGATGGGGGGGGGGGGGGCTTTGGGATTTCATCTCCTGTCCTGATGGTGGCTCCAGAAGGGGTTGTTCAAGTATGGCAACTTGAAATTGGAGCTGTCTCACAATCCACATCTGCAACCCCCTGCCACCCACTTCACCATTTTTTTGGGGGGATGGGGGTACACACCACCCAGCATTGCTCAGGGATCTCCCAGGTCTGTGCTCAGGGATCACTCCTGACGGATTTGTGGGACCATATGGATGTGAGGAATCAAGCCCAGGACAGTCATGTGCAAGGCAAGTGCCCTATCCACTGTACTCTAACTCTGGCCCCTGCAATCATGCCTGAAAGGGGTCCATGGGTTCTGGAAAGCAGAAGGGGGTTCAATCAATACAGTTCGATAGGGACAAGCTCAGATCAAACATGAACCGGTACCACCACTGCAGGCCATGCCAGTGGGCCAGAAAGTCCTGAACAGCTGTGCTTCAGATTCTCTGTCCCACTGTGTCCAGAACACTTGGACCTCGTCTGCTGACATTCTGGCTTTTGTCACTTGGAAAATTTTCTTGGGAGCCGTGTTATACAAAACTACTAGGAATAATTTCTCAAAGTTGAACTTTGAAAAATAAAGCATATTATCAAGGACCTCTCAGTAGCCCACTTCACCCCCCCAATTCAGTGGGTCTTAGTCGCATGTTCTGAGAGATTCAGGCTTGGGGCTGCTGGTTACAGCAGCCTGGTCAGGGGGAAGGAGACACATAACGTGGAATGATCGGAAATGTTCTAAAATAGTTCTGGGCTGGAGCGATAGCACAGTGGTAGGGCGTTCGCCTTACAAGCGGCCAACGTGGCCGACCCGAGTTCGATTCCTCCGCCCCTCTCGGAGAGCCCGGCAAGCTACCGAGAGTATTCGATATGCCAAACACAGTAACAACAAAGTCTCCAATGGAGACGGTACTGGGCCCGCTCGAGCAAATCGACGATCAACGGGAGGGCCTTTACCTTTTTTTAATCATTAAAATAAAAAAATTGATTTTGTTGTTGTTATTTTTGGGTCTCACCCGGTGGTGCCCAGGGCTTACCCCTGACTCTGTGCTCAGGGATCACTCCTGGCAGGGCTCAGAGAGTCATATGGGGTGCTGGGATCCAACCTGAGCCGGCTGCATGCAAGGCAAGTGCCCTGCCCACTGGACTATCTCTCCAGCCCCTGAAATCGGGTTGTCTTTAGAAGCTGGGGGCTCCCTGATGTAGGGGTTTGCATTCTGGCTCCGAGGCACAAAGACACACTGTCTGCAGGACGTGGTTTCCTTTGCTCTGGCATCTGCAAGTCATCCGAACAGCATCTTCCATGGCCACGAGCTTGTCTTGACGGAGACCCTGGAAGGGACTTTCTATCCTGTCACACTGAGCCAAGGCCTAGGAAGTCTCAGGGCCCTGAGCATGAATCTCTCAGAACATGTGCTTGCTAATGAGTCACAACGCCAACCCCCCAACCCCCCAGGGAAGCGTGGCCCCAGGTGTCGGCTCTTCTGGCCACCAGCTGGGCTGGGGATGGGGCGGGGAGGACTGGCGCTTCTGCAAGGCACAGACCAGGGCTGACCCTGGCCTGGATGCACAAGCTGCAGGTGCCCTTGCCTCGCAGGACAGAACCCCCTGGGTTGCTAAGGAAACGAGATGACGGATGTCAAGTGAGAGGCTCCCTCATCCTCCTCCCATGGTCTTTTTTTTTTCTTTTCGGGTCACACCAGGTGATGCTCAGGGGTTACTCCTGGCTTTCTACTCAGGAATTACTCCTGGCAGTGCTCAGGGTACCATATGGGATGCTGGGAATAGAACCCGGGTCTGTTGAGTGCAAGGCAAATGCCCTACCCGCTGTACTATCGCTCCAGCCCCTCCCACGGTCTTTAGGGGGTTTCCAGGCAGCATGAAGGGGCACACTGGGGGGGCAGCTCCCGTTGCTCGGCTCATGGGCTCAGCAGCACTACGACCTCCTGGACCCGCCATCCCAGACCCAGGGCTGCCCTGGAGCCGAGGGCCACCGAGCCGTGAGTGCTGAGTCCCGAGAGGGCGGGTTGTCCACGTACACACCTGGGGTCCAGGGCTGCAGGGACTGGACGCAGGACTGACCTTCACATGTGCCACGGGTCCTCCCCTCCCACCGCCCTGGCACCATCTGAGCTTCAGGTTCCTGGGGACCCCCTTGGGTGACCTTAGCTTTCAGGGTAAGTAGTTCCTTCAGGATGAGCCTTGAATTCTGCGCCTTGTGCCTGGGTGTGAGGCCCCCACTGAAACAGTCCACGGTGTTGTGTGTGTGGGGGGAATGCCAGGCTGGGCTTGGGATTTAGGGGCCGCAAAGAGCAGCATTTTCAAATGGCTTCAGCCAGGGCTTCCCGCCCCGTCGGGGAGCCCACAGGCATCTGTTCCCCTGTGGACCCCACCTCTCCTCACTGCTCACAGCCATTGTGGGGCCACATGTGGTTCTGGACTTCTCTGGTCACTGCCTAATGGCCCCTTGCCCGTGATCGTCACTGACCTGCCCTATCCTGCTCTGGTCGCTCACTGACTGGGTGGAGCTGCCGGGCTAACCACAAGCATGTCTCTGCCAGCTGAGCTCTCCCACTGTGCCAGGCAAGGGGGCCCTGTGATGGCCGTGGCACCCACACCTCTCGAGGCAGATGAGCACTGACCCACCCCCATTTCACAAGTGGGAAGGTTGAGGCACACAAGTTGAAGCCACCTGCCCAATGCCTGAGGCTGGATCCCAGCAAGGGCAGAGGCCTTAGGGATCCGCAAGTTTCCTCTCTTGCGGGGGGGATGGGAGGGTGGGGTTGGGAGGGGTGACTCTGCTCAAGCCCCAGGGTTTGAGGGCTTCTCTTGCCAGGGCTCCTTCCTCCACTGGGAAGAAAATCTGCTTCTCTTCAAAGCCGAGGCCACATCCACCTCCTCAAGGTGCCTTTCATGCGCCAAGAGCTAGAAGCAAGAGGCCAGCAGCGGTCTTCTCGTCCTCTGACCCATCCTGAGAGCAGGGGTCCCCCAGGCCGCCCCCACAACTGTGCTGGGTACAGGAGCGAGGATGGAGGTGGCCTGAGGGTGACACTGGCCCAAGTCAGAGCTTGCTGGGTGGACGGGCTATGGCCAGTGCCCTGAGAGCAGGCCGAGCCCTCCCGGCATCCTCAGTCTTACGATGGGAAGAAGGGCAGGGGGGGCTGCCTCCAATTCACAACCAGGAAACTGAGGCTTCTGTAGAACGCAGGCTGATGCCTGGGATGGCTGGAGCCCCAAGCTCTGATGTTTTATCCTCAAGGCTACATATGCCGGGCCGGGACCACAGTACAGTGGGTAGGGTGTTCCATCCCAGATGGTCCTCTGAGCACTGCGGGAGTAAGCTCTGAGCATCGTCGGGTATGACCCAAAAAGCGAAAAAAAAAAAAAAAAAAAGCTCCCTACACCCCCTGCGCCCCAGATGATTCAAGTTCCATGAAGATAAGAACACCACCGAGTCCCTGTGTGGCACGTGCTCTGGGCACAGAGAACAGAGCCACGGCTGGTCCGAATTACCCTGTACTTTGTTGCAGCGTCTATTTCTGGCTGCGGCACCAGGCGGGATGGCACGGAGCAGGATGCGGGTTCCACTGAAGTCGTGCCACATGGCACAGTGCCCAGCCTGCGAGGGGGAGGCGGGGCGGGGGGAGGGTGGTCTCTGGCAGCTCTACACATGCTTTTTAATGTTGGGGTTTCATCTTTGCAACTAGGAGTATCTTGACCAGCTCTCAGGACGAAACTCCTTTCGGGCAGTGAGAGTTCTAGATGGGGAGACTGTTCGCTGGACAGGACGGCAGAGGTTCAAGTGGATGTTCGTGGGTCGTGCTGAGGGTGAGTTCTCAGACACGCACAGAGCACGTATTTGGGTACAACGTCACCAAGTACAAGAAACTGCCTCTCGGTGCCACGAGGTTGGGTCTGGTCTTCAGGATTTTTGGAAGAAGCCTGGCCCCAGCAAGGCAGTCACATCTCCTCCCTCTAGGCAGCGTGAGGGCCTCTGGGAGCCAGGGGTGGGGAGGGGCGGGGAGGCAGGTGTGAAGCAGTCGGACACCTGGGCTGTGGGGTGGTGACTAATTTCCAAGTGTCCGCATTGCAGGGTTTACATAATCGGGGGGCTGGGGGCATCGGGAGAGGCCCAAACTGTCTCAGCCCCCTGGAGGCCACATCGGCTTCAAAGCTCTCTTCCCAATCTGTGAGATTTCACTGACTTTCCTCTTCCCCCTTTACTCCTCTCGTCTTTCCCTGCATACTCCCTGAAGGTGGGGACACTGTCTGCAGGGTTGGGGTTCAGATCTTGGATCCTCTTATTCTCCAGGCAGACAGAGCAGGGATCTGGATGATGGCACTGCAGGCGAGGTGTCAGGGCGGCTGGCTGAGAGGTGGGAGACCCTCCCTTGCCGGGGCCAGAGGGGAATGAAAGTGTGGGTGTAAATTCCCGGATTCCTTGTGGGATGCAAGGAATGCCAAAAGGCCACATCTTCCTTCTTCTTCCTCCTTTCCCTTTCAGCCTCATTAGCACATTTAGGAGTTATTCCTCAGACTGTGTCTTTAGAGCGAGCACATTAATGACACAAATTATATAAAGGAGCAACAAGAAGAGTGACTTGCTCACTCAGGGGTGGGAATGACAGTACAGCAGGTAGTATGCTTGCTTTGCACACGGCTGACCTGGGTTTGATCCCTGACATCCCATATGGTCCCCCAAGCATCACCAAGGCTGATTCCTGAGTGCAGAGGTAAAGGCAGGAGTAACCCCTGAGCACTGGCAGGTGTGGCTCCCAAAGAAAATGAAAAAAAAAAAAAGAAGAAGAAATGATCCGCTTAATAGAAAGTTTAAACAATAAACTCCTTCTAGGACCTAATTCTTCACCTTGAGAAACCTGATGGGGCCTTTCTGAAACACAGCTTGCCCTGCATCCCCCGGGCCAAAGAGGCTGGTGCTCACCAGCATTTGGTATGTGGTGACCACAAAACTGGAGGTGCTAGAACAGACGACTAGATAAAGAAGCTATGGTACATCAACACAGTGGAATACTATGCAGCTGTCAGGAAAAATGAAGTCATGAAATTTGCTTATAAGTGGATGAAGTATCATGCTGACTGAAATGAGTCAGGACAAGAGGGACAGACATAGAAAGATTGCACTCACTTGTGGGATGTAGGGAAACATAGTATGAGACAATGGAGACTAAGGCCAGGAAAAACAGGGACCAGGAGGACAGGTCAATGGTTGGAAGCTTGTCACAAGAGCTGGGGGGAGGAGGCAGAGGGCAGTTAGGATAGAGGAGACCAGTATGACAATGATAGTTGGAAATGACCGCTCTGGACAAGAATTGAGTGTTGAAAGTAGGTAAAGGGATATACACGATAACCTTTCAGTATCTGTATTGCAAACCATAATTCCCCAAAGGAGAGAGATAGAAATAGAGAGAGAGAGAGAGAGAGAGAGAAGAGAGAGAGAGAGAGAAAGAGAGAAGAGAGAGAGAAAGTACCTGTCACAGTGTGGCTGTGGGTGGGAGGGAATTTGGGGTCTTTGGTGGTGGGAAATGTACACTGGTGGAGGGATGGTTGTTAAAACATTGTATGACTGAAACCAACCATGAACAACTTTGTTAACTGTGTATCTCACGGTGACTGAATTAACGAAACAAAACAACCAAAACACTGGAGGCGCTGGCTGAGGAAAGGTCAGCAAGGTGGGACTGAGGGCAGGGAGGGAGTTGGCAGTGTGCAGCTGGCAGGGGTGTTGGGTGGGGGGAGTGGGATGGTAGGCGGTGTTGGGGGGCTGCGGGGCACTCACCAGCACGGCCATCTGTACCACGTCCGGCTGCTGCAGGAACTGCGTGTCCACGGAGGGCCACGCCTGAGCCAGCACGCCCGCGTCCCAGGTGTAGTGTGAGCACAGCTTCTTCTGTACCAGCGCCAGGCCTGCAGCAGGAGACGGGGTCACACCAGGGCTCACAGGAGCTGAGGGGAAGCCTTCACCCCCCCCAGCCTGGTGACCGTGGGCCAGGAAGGCTCCTGGAGGCCACTCCTGGGCTTCACAGCCCGCCCCCACCTTTACTCTGGCCTGTTTTAGAATCCCAGGCTCTTAGCTCGTGCCCCCACACCCAGAAGTTCCCCCAACCAGTGCTCAGAGCTGTCAAGATGAATGAGGCAAGCATCCCACCTGCAGTGCTCGCTCTCCACACTCCCCAGCCACACTGTGAGTATTTCTCCCACCAAACCCATTAGTTCATCACTTCTGGAATAGCAGCTTTCTCATGCCCGACCACCTGGCACCTGCAGCAGTTACTTTTGCCCTCATCAAACTCCTTCCACATGGTTCCTTTAACGGCCTCACTGGAGAGGCGAGACCTGGCTGGGGCTGGCCAGGACTCCCGGATGTCTCAGGGTTCGGTGCTGCTTTCCCCGTGTGGCTGTTGCCAACTGAGGGGTCGGGGTGAGGTGAGTCTTTTTAATTCATCACTCGCGGCCCCTGCGAGGGAGGTCTCTGGGGGGAAGCAGTGGGGTGTTGCTTGAGTCTGTCCCTTTTCGGAGTGACACCAGCCACTCTTGCCATTACTGACTTGTCACTGAGAGTTGGGTGCGGGGTTCCGCCAGCCGCCCTATGCTACGTGTGTGTCTGGGGAGAGAACAGCCACTTCACTTGCTGTCTGTGACTGTGCTAGGGATGCCCACGGGGGACAATGGGGCCTGAGCAATGAGCTGCATCCACCTCCCTCTGGGTGGGAAGGGGAAGGGACGGCTGGAGCCACCCGCCTGTGTATGTGTGGGGGGAGGGAGGGCAGAGGATGGGCACTGAGGGTCTCCTTGCATTCAGTCCAGCAAAGCTTCCTCTTCCAGAGGCTGCTTACTCATGTGCAAAGAGCAGAGAGCAGCCTTGGCTGCGGGGTGGGAAAAGGTGAAGAATGAAACTCAAGTCCTGTTTCAGACTGAGGTTCCCAGAGCGGGAGCCCAGGATCCGAACCCAAACCCTGCAGACAGTGTCCCCAGCCCCAGGGAAGTCGCAGCCTGGTGGGAAAGGTGAAGAGAAAAGGAAGAAGAAAGTCAATGAAATCTTGTACACTATGAAGAGAGCAGTGAAAAATCCCACCGGGGGGCCAAGAGACAGAACACACCCTACTGATGCCCTGGTGCAAAGCCTGCAAAGAGGACATTTGGACATCGACTGTGCCCCGACCCCCAGTCCAGGGGTCTGACTGCTTCACACCTGCCTCTCCATCCCTCCCCACTCCTCACTGCCTGAAGGGAGGAGGTGTGGCTGCCTTGCTGGGCTTCTTCCAAAAATCAGGGTTCTGTCGGCTTTCCGGCAGGGCACTTTGGTCTAAACTCTGGGCAGCCAGACTAACCGACGGAGGGAGGTGAGGCCCCGCCCCCCCCTCCCCCGAGGATCTGGGAATGAACTGGTGTAGACGGTATGTTTGTCCCACCAACTCATGCTCGGACTGTCCCCTGGGGCCCGGGATTCCTGTGCTTGCCCATGAACTTCCCCTGTGACTAACAGTTGTGCCTCTGACAGGGGCCGGAAGTCACTTCCTGCTTGTTCCTCACAATGGCCCGATTGCGGCTCCTTCCACACACACGACGGAGGTCAGGGAGGTGGTGACTGTGTCTAGCTCTTAGCTTGTCCATGACATGGCCTGGCCCACCATGGAGCACCCAGACTTTGTGCCTGAGAGATGAAAGGGACTTGGGCATAAATGTTCTGGGCAGGAGCTATTATAAATTACACAATTACACACACACACACACACACACACACACACACACACACACAGAGGCAGCCTGGGCTTCCTGAGGGATAAGGATGCTGCTGTACAGTGGCTGGAAGTCTGCCAGTATCGCTACAGGGGTGGGCGTCGGGCATCCTGTGCAGGGAGAAACAAAAACTCACTTCCACAACCTTGTTCCTTGAGGGTTTGCATCTCCCAGCACTCTTCAGGGAAGTGAAAATACTACTGCGGGCCAGACAAATACGACTGCTTCTTCATGTGATACTGACCGGGGCCGGAGCTAGGCTCAGGGAAGCACGAGGCAAAGTCTGGACACAGACAGGGAGGAGCCGGGCCTTGCCCCACAGGCTGGTGGTCACCTCCAGCCCACCCATGGCCATCCTGAGAACTAAGGGCCACGGCCTTCTTTCCTCCCCGACTCTGAGGTGAGAGCACTGGGCTGCCCTGGGGTCCTTAGCTGAAGAACTCTGCTGGGGATCACCTCCCCCCACCCCGGCTCCTGCCCCATATGCATACAGCTGAGGCCTCGAACACTCTGTGGAGTTGGACCCCACCGTGCCTCGTCCAGCTCTGGACACTCCTGGGAGGTGACACTATTTGTGGCCAGTGCAGGTGTGATGCTCACGCGAGCTGAGTAAGTCCTGTGAAGTCGCTCACCTTGGTGGCGGGAGCGTGGCCTCCTGGAACAACCCTTACCCTGTGTCTGACTTAACTTCTGTCAAGAGTTAACACGTCCAGGATGTTAAAGATCTTCACAGGGGACAGCAACCATGACCCAAACTCACGCTCCCTGGGACGGGGTGGAGCCGGGAGATTCTAGGAAGAGGGGCCAGATGGGTGACTTCTGGCTCCAATACTCACTTATGATAACATTTCTGCTCTGCATGATAACTATCATATCACAGTCACCTGCACTGTGACAGATCACAACTGTCCTGTCACTGTCACTGTCCTCCCGTTGTTTATCGATTTGCTCGGGCGGGCCCAGTAACGTCTCCATTTTGAGACTTGTTGTTACTGTGTTTTGGCATATCGAATATGTCACGGGTAGCTTGCCAGGCTTTGCCGTGCAGGCGAGATACTCTTGGTAGCTTGCCGGGTTCTCTGAGAGGGGCGGAGGAATTGAACCCAAGTTGGCCAGGCCAGCTATGCGCAAGGCAAACGCCCTACTGCTGTGCTATCGCTCCAGCCCACAACTGCCCTGGAACCCCCTAAATGTGATCAAGAATGAACCGCAGCACCCTCCCCCGTGCCCAATTCTGTGTTCCTTCTTCCCCACAATATCATGATTATCCCTCCTCTCCTTAATTTCCTCATGTCCTGTGTCTAGCTAACCTGGAAATCAGTCGATGGCAGGCTACTGTCTCTCATTCTTGAGTGTGTATTATTCCTCAGTGAATCTTTTCTATTTGTTATTTCTCTACGTCGGGCTCTTAATCAAGTGCTTCCTGCAACAAGTCACTTCAGCCATTACCCAAAATAGCTTCACGGACATCTTGAAGTAGTAACACTGAAATACCAGCTCACTCACGCAGAAAACAGCACCAGAATTTCAGTATATACCTTATTCTCACTTATCCACACCCCAACATACACATGATTTATTTGCAATTTGGTTGAAATTAATACACACATATTGATGTAGAGCAGAATGCCACTGTGTATGTGTGTGTGTGTGTGTGTATCTATACATATATATATAATTTTATTTAAAAAATATTTTTGGACCACACCTGGCAGTGCTCAGGGCATACTCCTGGCTGTATGCTCCAGGATCACTCCTGGTGGGGCTTGGGGGACCCTATATCGTGCTGGAGATCAAGCCTGGGTCAACCACATACAAGACAAGCACCTCTCCTTCTGTACTATGTACTATGGCCCCTGTTACAATACTTCATAGCAACATTCATTTTATGAAGAAAAGTAGATTTGTGGTGGTGGAGGGACAAGTTATGCCTGACAGAGGTGACGGTCCCCTGGCAGAGAGCCTCACAATCAAAGTATTTCTGGTAGATTGGCTATCACCCAGCTATGAAATTGGAGGCAAAAAAAAAAAAAAAGAGGAACAGAATTATAAACTTAGAAGTGTAAAAATGTCCAGGGAAATAGGAACTGAGTGCTTATCACCACATTTACAATAACGTGCACTTTTGACAAGAGGCAGCACAAGAGGCAGCCAAGAAGAGAAGGACCCACAATGGCTCCGGGTGGAAGGAGTTTGGTTCAGGGACAAAGACCTACAAGGACCTCCCAGGGCTGGGCCTGCGTAGAGAAGGGGGGAAGATGGGGGAAGGGGGAGGCGTGTAAGTGAAAGAATTTCTGGATATAGAAATACTCTCAAACAGAGCCAGGGGGAAACTGTTGTTACAGAATGGCCACTTCTTTCTGCAAGGTTCTTTGCTACCTCTGATGATCTGAGTTTGTCAATTCTTTTTTTGACTTTTTTGGATCACACCCAGTGATGCTCAGGGGTTACTCAAGGCTTTGCACTCAGGAATTACTTCTGGTGGTGCTTGGGGGACCATATGGGATGCTGGGGATTGAACCCCGGTGGGTCGAGTGTGAGGCAAATGCCCTCTCTGCTGTGCTATCTATCGCTCCAGCCCCCAGAGTTTGTCGATTTAAATGGAGACAGGAAGTGGCGGAGGTTTTGAGGAGAACAGCAACGGGCAATGGGTTGGGACTCAGCGACCACCATTTACAATAATGGAAAGTTTTACCATATGTGCAGAGATACACTTTTCAAAGCCCAAACTTAAGGCTTGGCTTGGCTTGGCTCCTGAAGGGCAGGACTTTTGGCTGCAGTTATTCTGGTCAGGGTCTGGTCTGGTCAGAGGCTGGGCCTGGTGTAGAGAAGTAGGTCTCTGTCTGTCTCTGTCTGTCTCTGTCTCTGTCTCTGTCTCTCTCCCCCACAAGCCCTCCCCTCAAGGAGCAGTACCTCTGGATGCTCCTTCATGGATGCCTGGGATAGACCCTGGGTGACGTGTTCCTGGGAGCACACATGCAGGGGCTGTGCTGCGGGGATGGGCACGTGTAGGGCTGACATTCAGGGGCAGACGGTCACCTGGGCTGTGCAAGTGTAGACAGCATGTCCAGTAGAGATACTCCTTCCCCTCCCATGGTCTTCAATGCTCTCTCTCTTAATAATACAGATCTAGGGCCTAAGCAATAGTACAGTGGGTAGGGCACGTG